GCAATCACACAAACTCTTTGCACAGCTTTGATTCCTAACCTGTGTGCCATCGTGTAGTCTTTTCTGTGAATCAAAACATCCCTTCCTTCATGATCGACAAACTATCATCAGCTCAACTGACGCTGACTCTGACCAAGATCGGTGAGAGTATGCTCATGAAGACATCGTGTACAAAAAGTGCCACAACGAATGCAAGATACAAGCCGGACACCAAAAAACCCACCAGTATCGCCAGAACCAGGAATACAAAAGGTAGCATCGCAAACATATCTGTGGAATTCTCCCATTCGCAGGCTGTGAGTGAATCATCCATACCGTAGTACTTTGCTGTTGTTGACATGTACTCTGTCGCATCTCTTCGAGGACGAAAGAATGAAAGAACCCAATTGTCTCACCACGAAGCGAGATTTTCCCCAGGCTTTTGGAATTTGACGCAAAATGGGGCTGGGAGGCTCTGAGCTATACGAGGTCTCCTGAATGGTTTAGCGATAACCCGACAAATTGAGGTAAATGCCGGGTCATCGATGCTGCGCTGTCCACAGGACTCGTATACGATATCAACTCTTGAGTACTTGGGCAGATATTCCCACCATGATAAATTCAGAGTGTCAAAGTTCCGCCGTGGCTGCTCGGCCTCGTTTCGTATGACCATGTTCATGTGTCGCATGTCCAGAGCACCGACTGACAAAGTGTAGTTTGGATTTGCACGCCGAATGAGGCGACACGAGCGTCTCAAGGCTTCATAGTCGATCTCATGTTTGATTATTCGACAAGTCCGGCGGAGGCCGACGAAAGGCTGTTTGCCCAGAAGTTGAAAAGGCTTTTTGCCATCGCTCGTAGGTAGGAAATATGAGTAAATCATAATGCGCAATTCTGGGGGTAATGCTAAGAACGGGAAGTAAGCCATCGGAACGATAGCTGTCATATGTTCTGACGTTGGGCATGCTAAGATGTGGTGTCCTTTAGTGATGCGTCTTGAAAGGCGGCGGGGCTGTACACACTGCGCAGGCAGCAATGCCAGGGTTGATAAGCGCATAGAAAAGCAGGCAAACACCCGCATATCCTTTGCCTTACGCACATTGGATGCACCTATGAGCAAGCAGTTTGAGCTCCTGACGCATTGCTGCATACGCTCATGATTACGACCGAATTTTGGGCTGAAGGTCGACCCTCGAGATAGTAATATGAAACACCAGAAATGTAACATTGTGTACGATAACACCCCTACAGCGGGAACAGCTCCCATCCGCCAACAACGAAGGCCGCAGCGAGCGCTGGCTGAATTGGCACACCTGTTGCGAACGCCGCGTTCGACGCAGTAGACGATTCGGTAGTAGTTGGAGTCGCAGTAGCCACGCTTTGCGCAGAAGACAAGCTCGCCACTGCACTGGACATGCTTGTTACCATAGGCCCATCAGGCTTGATGGCACATGGGTTCCCATCTCCCCACTGTAGCTGATCCAGCGAACACAAGTCCGACTCATTTGCGTCAATCATAGCGAAAGTGCCCAATTGCGCACAATTGCCTGTAACATTCCCGAAGGTAGTTGCCTCGGGCGCCTTCCACTCGTTAGGCCACGCTGGAAGAAGCGTAAAGAGAAGTTTTGTGTCATGCGAAACACCAATGTCAGGCCGAGGGTGGTCGCATCCTTTATTCACGTCACCCCACAGGATGTACCACCTCAATGAGTATGCATTTCCTCCATAGTTTGGTCCATGGACCCAATCCCTAGGATTCGTGTGGTTGACAAGGACATATGGCGATCCATCAGACGTTGTAAACGTGGATGCATTATCCGAAGTAAAGCCTATCGACCATTGATCCTCTATGACACCTCCTGGTATTGGGTCATCGATGGTGTGATACGGCCTGAAGATGGGTGTACGAAGTCAGTGTTTGTCTCACATGCAGTTCGTAAATAGGCAATTACTTGCATGATATCCCATGCAAAAGTGAAGGGGCCAAGCTCAGCGGCCGCGGTCAAATTCTGGAATGCGAACACGATGGGTAACGATGAGGTAAAGTCGTACGTTTCATTTTCGCGAGGAAAGATGACGTCGATTTCGAGAGCTGGAAGGTTTGATGTTGGTGCTTGGATTTGGGCTGATGATGCGGGCGTGGAGGACGCGAGAGCCGTTGCCGCGGTCTGAGCAAAGGCTGATCGGCAGGCAGCCAAGGCAGTAACTAAACACCAAGAAGAACGGGCCATCTTCAGGTAAGATTTTGGAAGCTGTTTTGAAGAACGCAGACGATAGCGTCGCTCATTGAATGTATTGATAGAAAAGTGAGTCGCACCTTATGCCCAGGGGCCAGATTCCTTCGTAATCTTAACCTGCCGCGCTCCCTTTTAGGCGCCCAGCGCCGGTCACCATTGGTGTTGATCTCTTCTTTTATGAGAAATGCCCAATCGTCCTCTAACGACACCGAGTTCATCTAGTACTAAAGCTTAAAAAGAGTAGAATTCCACCTCAGCGATACCTGTTCTGGCCGGAATTGTTATAGCGATGGGGAATCCTCCATAGTCAGGATCCTCATTCGGCATCATCGCGTTGGCTCCACTCCTTGTCTCATCGCCACCTAAGTTCCTCAGTGTCCGTAACTTTCCTGTCGCTATGTCTTCCACGACCTTTTCTTCGTTCTTCAGAATGCCGTTAAACTTCGTGTCAGCCCTAGTCGAGTGACCCATCACTTGAAAGCCCCAACCAATAAGTAAAAAGCGTGCTCCGCCACGATGAATGACCATGCCGCTACCGGTCCCGGGCTTGCCAAAAACGAAAGAACGCTCAATAGTGATATCCCAATCGCCAAAACGCTGCTTGATGGGTTTCGACGGATCTTTGTCGCCGGTGAATTCGTCAAAACAAAAACCCACCGACGAGCCCGGGTTACGTTGCGCTTCCAGTACGATTTGAGAGACTTGTGATAGCAGCCCGTAGTGCTTTGTGTAAGGATTGGTTTCCGGCTCCAAAGTATCGATGCCAAAGGGACTGGCTAAAAGAGCCTGGAATGTTCCGTACGCTATCCAGATGCGCCGAACGCCGTACTCATCTCTTCGCTGTTCCGGGATGAAGAGAGTATTTCCACAATGTCGGTACTTGCCGCATAAGCTAGTGTACTCATTAAGGTAGATGTCGGGCGCGATGAATTCGAGGTCAGGTGCGAATTGCAGCCAAATATCGAGGACATTGACTGTGCCGCCACCTGACGGGTAATCTCCTGGATGACCACCACCACCAACTACAATGGGGGTGTCGTTATCGGCATCATCTCCCGCATAGTTCTGCCATACATTAGTGTATAGCGGAATGGGATACTCTGCTTTTCCAGCTGCTGCTACACGGTTCACGTAGTGTGCATAATGATATGCCATGAAGAGCTCGTCAGTCCTGCTACCGACGCCGAACACTTCTTCCCAAGTGCCAGATTGTGGCTTCGATCGTGCGACAAAGGTCCTGAGGTTGGCTTTTAGATCAGGATGTAATTGATCGTAATCGCGGCTCAAGAATTGGAGAAGTTCTGCGGGCACCGGTCCGGAGAAGACTCTGTTGGCCTCGCCACTTCCGTCGCGACTGTCAAACAACAGGCCGACTTCGTTTTCGACTTGCACCATCAACACAGTACTATGTTTCTCGTCTACCTCTTTGAGGTGACTAAGCAACTTTCGGAATGCTTTTACGTCCGCTTCAACGTTCTCCTCATTGAAAAGGGACAGCACATCCGCAACCTCAATCACGCCTCCCGCCTTTCTAAGTTCGGCACGAGGGAAGCGTTTTGGATTCGTCTTCACCCATGATGGGGTGTACGTTGATCTGCCTAGCCATGTACGTGTCAGGGTGTGGAGAGAGGCCGCGAAGATATACCAACATACCATTTTTGAAAGATCCGAACCATAACAAGATCAAGTGCAAGCCGTGTTCTCGAGCGCCCAGTATAACTTTGTCCAGCTCTTCAAAGTCGAACTTGCCCTCTTCAGACTCGATCATCTCCCAACTGACAGAGCCAAGTAGAGTATTGACATTGGTTGCGACCATCTTGGGCCAGATCTCGCTCATGTATTCGGCAGACGAAAGCGACGAGTTTTGCAATTCTCCGCCCAACATAAGGTATGGTTTGCCATCAACAATGAGTTGCTTGGTGTTTTCATGTTGTCGGAGGTGTGGAATGGTTGAATTGGAAGTCATGTTAGATCAACAAGGCCCAAAGGGTCCGTGAACATGTGCAATGTCTGGAAACGAAGATACGTCGTGCACCGCCAGCACCCAGAGATGTTCACGCAGGTTCATCGTACAGCACGTGGAGTCCTGCGGGGCCGCTCCAGCGGGGTAGTACCTACCGAACATAGGCGTGTGATTTTACCGGTGCTAGAAGTGCAGCCATAGCCCAACGCGTTCTTCGACCACAATAGCGCAAGACTCAGTCGATATTGCCAATGGCGAGACCTTGTTGTCGGGTTCCTCTCCAGATTTGTGGGCTGCCCAGGTGGTGTCGCAGTGATGACTAGTCTGCTACCAATGTCTCCCTGTGCTGCAGCAAAGTATTTGACGGTCATGACTGCCCAGATGGTGACGAGATCGCAGCGTGCCTAATCGGCCGGCGCTGACGCTAATACGTATTAGGTTAATGCTGTGCTTCTCCCCTCATCTCACCTCACGCGTCACCAAAGTGCAAGAGCAACCGGACTGTCAAAGTTGCGAGCTGCATGTCAATTGCCAGTGCTCTTGTCGTTTGATTCAGCTATCAGGGATCCTGTAAGCTGTCGAAGAGCTCCTAAGGTCATCCACACCCACGTCAGGAGCCTCTCTATGCTGCTGTTACTATGAGTATCTCCTTGTTGTCTACTGCTTGAAATCCACTCCCTCTAGAAACCCCTCGAAGCTATTAAACCTGTCCCACCCACCTACCTCACCGACGACCTGCTTACCCCATGCCACACCCTCTGCTTCCATGTACATCTCTAACTAAATAACTACGCCGTTCCATAACCAACAAGAGGCACCTCTCAAGTAGCCTGTCCAGGCGCGCCTGGCCCTCTTCCTCCACTCTGCTTATCATCCGGTTCATCCTTGCGTTTGGGAGGATTGGAGTCACCCTCAGGTTTACCCTCCGGCTGGGACACCATAGCCTTAGGATCGACGTTCTCGGGCTTAGGAGCCGGCTCGACGTAGAATTGATCCGTATCCTCAAAGCTGCCAGGGTCGTAGACAGCGGCGTTTCTACTATCATCATGAGATGACTGGCCTGGAACACTGCTTTGGAAGTTGCCGCTGCCAAAAGGTGTGTAACCGCCCGTTCCCACAAGCGCTCGTCCAGTAGCTGGATTCACGTATGGGATGGGGTATCGTCCAGCATACAACCCCCGCGTCCCCGTGCCGTTGGGAGGAAATCCCTCATGAGCCCGAAATTGATAAGTTGTCGGGCGTCTGTTGATCCCGTTCCTCTCCCTCTCTTCCGTTGGCCCAGAGTTTCTACCCGCGGCAATCCATGCCCTTCTCTCCAAGTTCGCTCTGTGTCTCTCCACGTCTTCCGGCCTCGGTGAAAAACCAGGGCATATCGCATTAGAACGCGCGCGAGACATGTCGGGATCGAGAAAACTCTCACCTCTCTCCAACGGACGGCCAACCCCCTGCGTATAAGGCGTGTTTCCAGAGGTGTCCGAGTTTGTCTGACCATGCGCCCTGCGTCGGCGGTTGGCCTCGCGGATTTCGGCAGCCCTGCGCTCGAGGCGAGATCGTGTTGTTTCTGCGGTGTTATTCGTATCCTGTCCTTGGTCATGGCCAGTCAAAGGTGGTTCTTCTGAGATTGTGTTCATTCGACCAGCGCGACCGGGGCCGCCTCCCCGACGGGCTGGATTACTGGAGTGATCTTCGCCCTCGTCGACAGGATCGTTGTCTTCTGTTCGGCTAGGTGGGAGGCCATCACCGCCGTCTTGCCGATCGGTGTGCGTTCGATCCATCTGGTGAGTACAAAGCTGAGCTATTCGCGGTGCTTCTAAAGGTCTTTCAGACGGGATTTCCAGATATACTTATACTCATAGTTCTGGTAGCAACAGGTACCAATCGGTTTGTTGTTGGCGCGCTCAAAGTGGCTAGTGGTAGTGATGTAGTTTTATTTGCGGGGATGGAGGGAAACACCGAAGAGTGATCTTGTATGCGCAAAGTGCGGTCTCAAGCGAGACCCAGCTATTGTTTGTCGCAGGAGATGCGTGAGTTTCAAAGAAGTTATAGTACCGCATGATGACCAAGCTCATAAAAAAGATAATACCACAATGGTAAGTGATGTGGTAACACCAGAGTCACGTCACAAATCATTTTGTCTGCTCCCTGCATATACAGGAGCTTGATCGTGGTATTAGTATTATTGAGTTGGTGTTTACAACTCCGCCTACATTCAATCATCCTCACTCTCAAGATTACCAACTGCAGAACTGGGTTCGTATGAACTTCTTCAGAGCACTGCATCATCGCCAAAGTGCTTCGCATACATTCCCAGCGCCTTGATCGGGAAGATGAACTTGTAGTTCGGATAAGAGATCATACTGTCATCAAGTTAGCCACCGTTCGTGATCAGTCAACCATGTGCCGACTTACCAAGACTTATTGAACACTCCCTCAATAGCCTCCTGCAACCACTCTCCGTTGGCTTGCTGCCTCTGCATGATGAGCTTAACAGCCCTCTCGAGCGGCTCCTTGTGTGGGAACCCGCCCTCAATCATTGCGATGACTACCCAAGCAGTCTGCACAACCTGACTGCGCGGATGCTGCTGCCAGACACCGGTTTCACAGCTCTTGTACGTCTCGCCCCAGCCTCCATCTTCCATTTGCTTGTCTAGGAAGAACTGACACGCCCTTCTCACACGTTCAGAGTTGCTGTACTGCTCTCCAGAGCACTTGAGTGACTCAAGAGCAAACATGCCGGCATAGGTAAAACAGATACCCCAGCTGCCGTACCAAGATCCATCTGGGCGTTGGGCGGCGCGAATGTATGCCACCGCGCGGTCACGGAAGGCAGAGATTTCCGCGGCACGGTAATCAGGGTAATGATGTTGGAACATGTCGAGGGCGGTCACGACAGCGGTTGTGCATTCAGGGTAGTCATACTCGATCATGATGTTGCCGAAGACTTCTGCTGCGTTGAGATGTTCAAGGAGTACGCTACCCCGTGTCGGCTCATAAGAAGCACAGCCACCAGAAGCGTTCTGCATAGTCAGCAGGACGTCGATGGCATCTTTCACGCGGCGTTCGTTGATAAGTTCAGGGAATGCGTTATCCCTCTGGAGGATAAGTGTGCTCTTGAGACCCTCGGATGTACAGTCGCTGACTGTGTAGCCCTGCTTTCGTGTACTGAAGCCCCAGGCACCTTTGCGTTGTTGACGGTAGCATGCATGCTGGTCTCTGGTTTCCTCAAGAATTTGCTGGTCTTCTAGGAACTCAAGACTCTTCGTGAGCATATGCTTCCATTTCGTATCCTTTGACCAGCCGCAAGAGTCAACAGCTTGGATAAGGAACGCGGTGTCCCACGTCTGTACACCGTTTGTACCGTTCATAAGCATGCCTTCATCCTTTACCCAGAGGAACTCCGGAAGTGTCTTGAGATGCTCGCGAACAGCATGGGACTTGGATCCTTCTTTGATGTAAGCAGCCAACATGTTCATGGGACCGTTGACAGGACCCAGATTGGCGAAGTCGGTGTTCTCATCCTCGGCTTCGATCAGCCACCATACATGCTCTTCAGCCCGCTTCACCATCCAAGTGGGCCTGATGTATGGGAACCATATAGCGGCCATGAACCAAAAGAGGACCTTGAGCATCCAAGATTTCGCATGGTAGTTGTCCGTCGGGGCAATGGTATTCCGCCGTGCGCCAAAGTTGATGTTCTCAAATGGCTCCATCAACAGTTCGGCCCGCAGTTGACGTGTAAGGTCATTAAGCGGGTATGACCACTTCTTGGAGTAGACGTAGGACATGGGCAGAAAGACCTGTCGCATATGTATCCACCACCTCCACGGCGCGATAGGGACCCAGTCTGGCAGCAGCCACAGCTCAGGTGGACAGGGGTTGACAACGTCCCATTCCGTCACACCCAACACGCTCAACCAGAACTTTGCCCAATGCGGACCGTTGAGCGCGCCACCTAGCTTCCAAAGTGTGTCCCGCGCCTTCCGCATTCTGGGGTCTTCTGCGTCGACGCCAAGCAGCCTGAGGACGGTATAGTTCATTGCCGTACCAAACACGGTACTCTCTCCCTCGATATGTAGCCCCCAGCCGCCGTCTTCTGGATTCGCGCGGGCAAAGAGGTAGTTCTTGATCTCGATCGCATGCGACGCTGGTATCGGTGTCTCGGTGACATACCAAGTGACTACGAGGCCGGGGAGGAGGAACATGGGACCGCCGTATTCGCAAGCCCAGTTGCCAGGTGGGAGTTGGAGTTGGGAGAAGAACGTGAGGCCATTGTGCGCAGCTTCAAGGGGGGTCTTTGCGGATGCAAGGGCTGGTTGTTCCTGAGGTCCACGTCAGTTACTGGTGTCTGCACGGTCAGAAGAGGTGCACACGCACCGTGTCGAGGCCTAGGAAGTACTTGTCCGCTGTACTCTGCGGCCACGACTTCATTTCCTCGTCGCTTTGCAGATAGTGCCATGTCTGACATCCTCGGTCGTCCTTGAGCCTCCATCTTGTGTAATCTGTCTTTTCATCTCCCTCGTGGCTCTTGGTCACGCCCACCGCGTCGTTCAGTATCTTCTGGCTTGCGCTGCGCTTTGCTGCGCCGTTAGTCGTGCCATTAACGTGCGACATCCTGGATTCCAGTCTGCGAAGTCTTCAATGTTGTCCTACGCCCCTCCACTCGTACCGGGAAGGCGTGATGGGGGTGACATGGCCTCGTGCTGGGGTCGAGCACTCCGGGTCGGACGTCTTGGCAAGCATGCATGAGTAGAGGCAAGCGCGGTCTTGCTAATCAACCTTGGGACGTGAAAGAGAGTGGATGTGCAGCGCAGATCAACTTTACTCTCATGAACTAGTAGACATTTGCATTCAGACTGTCTGGATGCGATGCGTCGTTCGCATTCGCAAACTTTCTGCTTCAACAATTCCATAGACCCTGAACGCGGGTCCTCACATCCCTGCCACGTCCATAGTCCAAACTTTGAAGCCACTGCAAAGACGCATGGCAACGACTGTCCCAGCATCCCCTACTTCTTCGAAACTCGCGCGCGCTCCCGATCTACCATCTTCCCTATCACACATGCAGCCACTTGCTTGCCCTTTGTCGCCCCTGACTCAACAGCCGCACAGCAGTCTTGGCAGGCACTCCCGCGGCGAAGCGCGCGATCGACAAAAAGCTGACCACTCGGCTCACGCAAGGCTTACATTCCCGCCCCCTTTCAAAGTTTCGTGCGCAATGTGACGCACAGGTCGCCAATCGTCGCATCGCGGGATGAGGGAGGATCCGAGGCCGAAGTTCTGCATCGACGATGAGCTTGATGGAGCCATGACTTCATTGATCGCATACGTGGACTTGCGTCTGAGAGGCATACATGCTAGAGGGAAATGAAGATCAGCATGAGTGAGGAAATCGCGAGGTGATGTAGAGGCGATGTAGGCATGGGATCATTGTGAACTCGGGGATGAACGATTACTCGTGCTTGTATTCAATGCTCGCATTCAGCTGGCGGCGGGTATGATGTGGTACTTATTTACAGATACTACATGTCGAGTATCGAACGCGCGAGAGCCTCCAGGGCAATCGCTCTGCACGCTCAAGACTGAGGAATCCGCCAAGAAAAAAAAGAGACATGAGCAACATAGGGAAAAATGCATGTGCCATCCAAACAAGAAAACACCGTATAGTTGCTCTTGGAAACGTGCCATAGACAAGGCCGTGAAATGCTAAACATGCTTCGAGAGGTAAAAAGAGAAAGCGGTGAATCGTGGTCTTGTGTATGTGGTAATCGTGTGCTGTGGTGCTAGTGGCAAAATAAAATCGATGTTTCGGGTATCGCAGAAAAGGTAACCTCTCATCCATACGCGCTTGTTGGGTATGCGTGATTTCAATCGCTAAGATCGGGGTTTGCGACGAAGAGCCTCGTCCCCATGGTCATGGTCCGCTCGTCCACACTGCCTCTTCGAACCAGGTCATCCTTACTGCCCTTCTTATCTGTCGCAGCGGGTGGCTTCAACATTCCAGGCGCTGGCATTTGCCCCACGTCGCCAAAGTTGCGTTCCCCACTACTGCCACTGCCTGTGCTTGTGTTGGTCTTGGTATGTTGGAAGTAGCTGTTGTCGTTGGGCGCGTTGACATCGTATTCGGCTGGTGAAGGGGTGGGCTCTTCTTTGAGGTCCGCGAGCTCGCCGTCCGGGGATGAGTTTAGCGGGGGAGTGCTGTTAGAGGATATGCGGCCGGTGGGGTTGGCGTAGGACATGCGTCGTCCTGAACCGAGCGAGGAACGGCCTGAACCTGTGCGGTGGTGGTACTGGCCATTCTTGACTGAACCTGCGTCTTCGTCGTCGCCCTCGTCTACTTCGGAAGCACTGAGGCGCATAGGAACACCAGACCCTGCATACGTGACAGGTGCATATAGCGATGCTTTTGGCAGACCGTGGTGACGCCCAATCTTGGACCGCACACCGCCGGTCATGCTAGATCCTCCTGAAGCACTTCGCGGGGGAACGTGGTGGGGTCCGCCTGCTACCTCCATGTTTGCCCGCATCTTAGCCTGCCGTTGCTGTGCAAGCATGCGGGGGTCCTCGTATTGGGCCCGGTCACACCACACAGTAGCCTTTTGTTTCCGCATGAGTGCAACGTACGAGGTGGGCGAGTTGCCGCCGGAGCGGGTGGACGAGGAGCGACGGAGGGCGCCACTGTTGGAGCGGTTCGGCGTGCCAGTGGTAGAGCTCGTTGACGAGGTCGGGGTTCGGCGGAGACTGCTCTGGTACTGGGTAGGGTATTGCGAGTTCATGG